GGGCAACGTATACTCATACGGCAAAAAAGTTTATTAACCGGCAGCTGAATTTTAACTTCAAACTACCATCACCGCACTGTATGTCATATCCGACCCCTTCCACAGTACTCATCTTACATTTTCTCTGCCTTTCTGTCTGTCTCTTTGACATCCGTGAATCATTCTTCTGTTCCCCACCTCGAATTTTTGTCACTTTGATGTTCCTCCCCTCTGTGAAGCCCGAAGTCAGCTAAAGGCTAATGACAACTACACAACGCCTGCCATTTGAAATAAATAAACTGGGGCTATTTCAAGTGGTGTTAACCATGCACTAGACGAGAATGTGCATGTGATCATGAATCCTAATCGTATCATTAATGGACAGTTACAAACGGAAAAAGTTAAGCTTAGAAGAGACATTATTGGTGTAATATCAGGGCTAATGGAAGTAAGAGGAAAAGATACTTCCTTTGACCCTTTGATCGGAATAAAGATGTTTCGCTTACTGCACTTTCGAATTTAGAATAAGCATGTATGGTCTTAAACAGAAAAGTGGGTATAACAAGAAGGTGACTTTCTTGAAGGGAGCAGAATATCTTTGGAGCCTCTTTGTTCATGACATCCTCGCTCACTTCCTCTGGAGGAATGGGGATGACAGTTACTGAAGACTTTTATGGCTTCATGGCTACATATTTCGAAAGTTAGCTCAAAGTAGTCACATGACTTCCAATTGCAATTTTGAAATATAAGCTTGTATTTACAGCTTTGAGACGAGCTGACCACTGTCAGATCGAGTACCCCAATCTCAATGGAAATCGATCGATACATTTATGCTAAAAGAATTGTGTAAAAGAGATGAATGTCCGCGAAATCACATGAAAGCTTGCCATTCAAGCGGGGAATAGGCGAATGGAAAGAAAGGTCAAATCCGAAGGAACTTCTCCGAATTCACTCCTATCTCCAGCTGTTAACTTTTCACTTCCTGTGTGTGCTCGGGTAATTGCACATGAAAATCTGTTAAATTGTTTCACATTCCTATGAGAAAAGCCGAAATCTATTTGGAATTGACAAGAAAATGATGCGCAAGGTCTCAATGTGACCGCAGTGTATTGTAGTGTCTAAATCTGAGATAATAAATGAGTTCCCCACTTACAAGCACCTTCTCATTTTATCTACACTTTAATAAGCGACTTTGCAATTAATTTAACTACATCATACCCGATATTCAACGACTGTTACCTAATTCGCTTACCTTCGATTAATTAATCGCACAAGTAAGAGCTTTGATAATCCAAACATTTAATAAGTGGTTTTCAATTCAGCCTCGTCAATCTAGATTTATCAACCTCCCTATAACCCGCAATAATGCTTAGTAATCTATTTACGAAGTCAAATAATTGTATTAGCAAAAAAAGCATTCAAAATACCATATTAACAGATGCACAAAATAAACAAAAAAAAACTCGAAACAATAGCCAAAAATAAACACAGAAGAGAAGTCAAGAGAGAAAAAAACAAGATATGTTGGGCTGTGTTCGAATGTGTTTCGAGGGAATGTGTACAAGTACTGCGCGAAAGGTTAGATGTTTATTTGATTTCATCATAGCGCAGCGTGGGATCGGAGATTAAAAACCTTGGAGCCAAGTGAACCACCGCCGATGCCACCACCATTTCGACTACGTGAAGCGATGATGACCGTTATTGCCATGGCGATGAGATCAGCAAAGATAAGCATCATAAAGACCGCTTTCCACCCATAGCCAACTAAATATGCCGTTAAAAACGGACCCAAAGATGCGCCTAGGAGACAATAAAAAAGATTGTTAAAACCGAAAATAACACTCAAACCAAATAAAGCCTTATACAGAATTAGGCTGCCAACTTAATTTTACGTTAATCGTCTTAAAAAGGGATTAACAATCAAAATATGAAAACAATAATTTTAGTCATCGCCAAAATTAGAATTGCACCTAAGCACAGTTGCTTAAAATACTTTCCAAGGCCATTATGGTAATTGTTGGAGACACTTAAATTGTGTGGAGCCCCTCTTTCAGGCAACTCGTATGTGCCATTCACTTTGTTTCCTAATTTGGGTGTGGGACAGAGGTTCTGAAAGGTTATCACATTTGGGAGTAACTGCTTTTCTCCTTACATTTACCGGAAAATGACTCAATTAGGAATTTCGACAAAAGTGTTGTCTTCTGACAATTTTGCATTCCCTTCGATTTTAAGGTAGTTAGTCTCACGACCTCAAATTTTTTAAAATCATTCAATCGATTTTGTTTGATGGCCACATTGTGGCATTTGAGTAGTTTGTTTTCATCTCTTAGAAAATATTTCGAAAGCTCAATTATGGTCTTAAGATATTGAGTCTTGCATTATTATTTACAAAGTGAGCTAATCATTCAAACAATATATTTAACGAAAGTTTATTTAAATGTTATCCAACGATTTCTTAAAATTAAAAATTTTACGTTGGATAAATTTTTAATTTTAAGAAATCGTTTTTAATTATTTTCTAAAGTAAAAATTGATAGTAGATATGAATTCAATTCAATTTTGTAATTTATCTCTTACCGCCAAATTTCCTGCTATTTTATTCAGACAGTTCTGAAAACTTTGGACAATATGGCAATTTGTCGATGTTCTAAAATACTCTCCTTAGAAAAAGCGAATACTTTAATATTTTTGGATAATAAATCTTCAGTTAATCTCGAGCTGGAAATTGGAAATGAATATAAAATTTTGAAATTCCAATTATTTTTATTCAATTCGTTATTTTAGACAATATGCCAGCCAATGTTTCACTGTTTGAGGAAGTCTAGATATTTTTATTCCGTTTTAATGATATTTTACGATATCATAAAACATTCATTACGATAAGTTTAATAATGCATTACTTTTGCATGAATAAAATTCTTATTCAATTGTTTAAGCATTTTATAAATCTAGATTTGACAACTCGAAATGAAAATAATATAGAAATTCGAATCGATCATTTTTACAATTGTTCAAGACGTTAATGATATCTATGACCTCTTAGTTTCTCAGTCTCTTGTCAAAACTGTATGCTTCGAGTCCTTCAACTGAAATTCTATGTACATTGATATAAAAGTTTTCAGATAGTGCAAGTCCACTCATTCGGGACTCTTGCGTGTGAAGTGCCTTAAAATTGGAATTAAAACTGAAATTTCCTCGGAAAAGGGGTGTGCAATAGACTTACCTCCACGTGGTGCACCCTGGGAAACGTATAATCATACGCAAAGAATCTATTAACCGGCAGTTGACTTCCCACTTTAAACAACCATCACCCCCACTGTATGTCATATTCGAACCCTATCACAGTACCCATTTTACCCTTTCTGAGCCTTTGTGTCTGTCTGTTTCTTTTACATCTGTGAATCACTCTTCTATTCCCCCTCCTGAATTCTTCTCCTGCTATTCCTCCTCCTGAATTCTTCTCACTTTGATGTTCCTCCATCTGTGAATCACTCTTCTATTCCCCCTCCTGAATTCTTCTCACTTTGATGTTCCTCCTCCTCTCTGTAAAGCCTGATATCAGCTAAAGGGCCAATGATAACTATCAAATCGCCTGCCATTTGTTATAAATAAATGTTTCCTAATTAACTTTAATCATGGTAACTCACATAAGTGCATATATGCATCGAGTTCTAATTGATGGTTTTGGTAATCTTTGAATATAGGGGTTTCGCAAAGATCTGCATCGTTTCCGAACTTCTCACTAAGCATTTAAGCACTGGGTGCCTTTTCAGAAAGTTAATTTCCATCGCGAAATTAAAATGCTGCAAAATTTTAAACAACTGCTGCTCTTACCTTCCACCATACCACTGAACTTATCACTATTCTACTTCCCGATGTCTTGACAACACCGAAGACTGCTCTAAACAAAGAGGAAGCCAACTTAGCCAGAAACAATACTTTAATCTAAATTTACTTATTCACCGGTAATTACCGTTTAGAGGTACAACGGTGGTGACCTTTAAATATATAAAGTAAAAAGGCAAGTATATATCTGAAAATAGCGCTAGGAGTGGCATATTTGGACACCGTGAGGCTAGTTGATAGGGCCAGATACATCATAAAATGAAAACAAAACTATAAAATTATTGTATGGAATACCTTTTAATTAGAACGGCAAATGTAGACCTATCGCATACGCTTTCCTAAATGTCAATATGAATAAATGAGAGAAAAAAAGTTGAAAATCAATCTTTGGGGCAAATAATGAGAAATATTTGTAAATTGCCAAAATTATTCCAATTTCGTAACCAAAATGGCTTATTGAATGAAAGAAAATGAAGCACAATAATAGAAAGAACATGCGAATATTCTCTAAAACAGGGGAATATAGCACGACAAAACAAATTGGCAAACACAAAGCCAAAAGCATTTAGCAATTTGGCAAAATCATGGGTAAGCGCGCTGAAAAAGCTAGACTACCAAGAAAATACTACAAAAGAGGAAAAATAGAAAATATCTTAAACAGTATCTCAGCTGGAAGATCACACAAAAAAGGACAAACATATTGCGGAATATATGATAAATTAATTTGCATAACTTACCAATAGATCCAGTACCATCAATGATTGCAGTCACGGTAGCAAGAGCCTTAGAACTTCTCTGGAGACTGGGCTGAGTTCCGAGATCAGCTGAAACGGCTGTGGTGATCAACGCACATGGACCCGTTACTAACCCACCACACAGGAAGAGCACAACTATGTGGAAAATTGAGGGGAATCGACTTTGTTATAGAGCAATACCGATTTAATAAATTTTCATGAACCTCCTATTTTGGTCACTGGATCTACTTGAATTGCTCTCAATCGACACAGGTGAAGAATATTAACTAGCGACTTGCATTACCGCTTTCACGATAAGCCATTTTTGCGTCAAAGATCCAAAGACACTCCGGGTACGAGACTCTACACGCAGACGCTTGGTAATATTTTGCTTTTTCTCTCTGAATTTTTATCTCAAGTTTCAACTAATGCTGTCCATAAGATTCCTCTCTCTCTCTTCGGCTCTATTTTCTGTCTGCTTTCAGCTGATAACTGTCAGTCATGACTTTTACATGAACTTTTAAGAACATGGCCATGAATACCTACTCAAATAATTACCACTATATTAATATATTCGTTATAAACTTAAAACTATATTATTTATATAAAAATGCTAAGTCACCAAAGCAATTAGACGACATGTTCTTAAATGTGTAATTTAAAGCGAATGAATCCGTTACCAAAAAGTGGCATTGACGTAGGAACGATAATAACAAATAAAACTACACTTATTTGCATGAAGACGAGAAAACGTTTTCTTCAATTATAATTGATTAATCAATGGGAAAAAAATCGATAGTAAGGTTACGCTTCAACGCTCGTCAATATACGAGCAGTTTACACTCGTAAATGACAGAACAACACAAAAATGGAAGTGAATAGCTTTGAAGTTTCAAGAATCTAGCTAAGCATGCAAATGATGAGAATTTAACATGAGTGATTATGATAAGTGGTTACAAAACAGGGGAAAATTATTAGAATGCAGTTCTATAATTTAAACCACGAGGGGGATGAGGACAGTAATAATGTTGTTAACAATATAAACGTGATTTGCTAGGGGAGGTATTAAAACGTGACAAATGGGAAACAAGATCAATAACTCAACTTACACAATGAAACACCCGACATTGTAGCCGCTATTGATTGGTAGTAGAATAACTGAGAAAAAAATTGATATTTTAAGATCAGCAATAGTTAAGCAATAAAATAGTGAAATGCACCTAAAGGTATAAGCATTCATATCTTTTTGCGATATTACAGAAAAATATGACAAGGAGGATTCCAAAGTTCTGTAAACGACTCACAAGATGCATAAACACGAAGAAAGCCAATATCCTAAGGAAAGTATACTTACAATGAGAACTCGAACTTATTTTAGGAAGTTGGTTTAATGAAGCCCAATACTAGTGATATCGTGCTTTACATAAAAAAACGTAGAATCGTTTTATGCTGCAATGATAGAGCTACAAATAGTAAACAGCTAAATATTTCACCTCTGAAGTTTTAGTTCAGATATGAGGTTAGATGAAAGAGCTGTGCAAACTAAACATTGTAGAGAGAAAGTGAAAAGACTAAGGGCTTACACATGGGGCGGCAATTCCAAGCATACTTGCACACGTAACCGCTCTGAGGTAAATGGTACGAAGGGATGATTCTTGAAGAGACATAACTGTCAAGCCATCAGACTGAAAACAGGCACAAATAAGTAGTTAATTAGGAAGGAGTTTTAAGATCATTCAAATTCACTCACCGACGGTCGATGATCACTAAGAAGACCGGCGATTATACCCCCGCAAATACCTCCAAAATCAAAGATTGTAGACAGCCAAGCTGCGCTTTCAGCTGAAAGCGCTTCGCTGGAAACGTTTGAAAGATAATTCGGCAGCCAATAGAGAAAAGTGTAAGATACCAACTTTGAAAAGAACAATGCCATAGAATAAGGGAATACATTCTAAAGGGAGAAAATTGAAAGCAAAACCAGCAAGCCTACTGGTAATCGAATGGCATCCCAGAAGCCTATTGGAAGTTCTTTATGGTTACCATCCGAAAGAGCCCTGACATCACCATAATAACCGGGGACAGACTTATGCTTATCATTGTTCGAATCCGAGTTTACTTCCAAGTCAGGAGTTGGAGAATCTACTAAGACCATGAAAACTATATATGCGCCAGCAATCAGAAGAAGTCCAGGAACTATGAAAGAAGCGCCCCACTGGTAGTTAACAAAAGCTCCAGCAAGAATTGAGCCGAGAACATTACCAACATTAGTATGTGCATTCCAAATGCCCATTATGAAGCCTCTCCTAGAGATTAAATAGAGTCAATGTTAAGAATATCAACTACAAACCTTCCTTTTCCAAACCAATTGCTAAGAATAGTGACGACACATGGCCAACCTGTAGCTTGGGCAATTCCACCCAAAATTTGCACTAGGAGGTAATAGGAAAATGAGTGGATGTTTAAGTAGTAGCCAAGACCAAACGCAGCAGTGGTAAGCCCACTAGCGACCATACCACCTGCGAGAAACACTCTTAAGCTAGTTCGTTCAGCTGCATGTCCACTATAAAGAAGCGAAGATAAAATAACAAAATGCTAACATTGGAAACATTGCAAATGCGTAAAATAATAAGAAAATGATCTCCAGCCATCCGACTCTTTCAGCCCAATCTGATGTATCTTAAAAAACAAGATGGTCAGCAAAAATAAGCTTACCAAATGGTTTCCATTGGCAATAATTAGGAGGTTGATTAGGTTTGAGAGGACATTGCTTATGAAACTCAGTTTTCACCACACTTAGAGGCTTTCGAGATGCATGGTAAAGGACATAGGCAAAAAATGTAAGGAATAGGAAGAAATATTGATGTCTAGAGATCAAGATACTGATAAAAGAGGTACCTCTGACGGCTTTGGTGCAAATATATTGATTGCAACCAAATATATCCAGGGGGTAAGTATGTCATTTTAAATAAATAATATAAGTGAGTGATTCGATATAATCTAAAGCCAGCAAACAACCCTGAGCATCTCAAAGATCAAAGGGCAGCACAGACAGCAAACGTTAGCTCGGGCAAGGGCAGTCAATAGACACAAAATTTTAATTGGGATTTACTGATTATTAAAAACTAAATCAGAACTCCATTTATAAAAATAATAAAGATTTAAAAGTAACATAATCTTTTAATATTCGAAATCTTAATTGGCTTAACTTTGAACACATATTGTAGTCTCTTAAAAATTCTTGGAAGTTGGAGGAATAATTATTAATAAGCAGTTAATAAAGCAGTTAAAAAATCAGTTTTAGTAACTGCTATATTGTTTTCTAAAATCTATTCAGATTTTAAGTAGTTTGAAGAATAGTTGACGTATACTAAAGTTCATTTAACGAAATGTTGCTTTCAAGTAAGCTACTTCATTCATCTTCGATATATATATATATATATATATATATATATATATGTGTGTGTGTGTGTGTGTGTGTGTGTGTGTGTGTGTGTGTGTGTGTGTGTGTGTGTGCTCATAACAAGGGATTAAAGGCAAATAACTGACGGTTTTTTTATTTTTTTAAGATTACTTATATTAATGTTTAATGTTTCAGAGGAACGTTTGTCGAATAACTGAACTTAGTGCTTAAAGGTCTTTATGAATGATTGTAGCAGACTGCTATACTATTAAAGCCTTGACTGACTCAGAAATCTCTACGGCAGTATCTCCTATATCTGGCTAGACTCCCTGAACTAGCTAAGCTATAACGAAGCTATGGAGGAAAGAGAGGTATCACATAGAACACTTTTGTTTCAAATTATGAAAGAGAATGAAGACTGCTCTCATTGCCGTTTCCTACCCAATTTAATTATTCGCCTACCTGGCTCATAACCTAACCTTCATCATTTCTAATCGCCTAATCTCTGCCATTTTAAAATTGTGGACATTGCAACCTCTTTAAATCTGATGTGGTTCATTAATTCTCTCTGAACTGAAATTTGAATGAGGAAAATAAACCAACAGGAGTGAAAATTTCAAGTGCAAATGCTTTGGACATTTAATATTTTGACCACAAATCCAATATGATGTAACTGATAAAATAACCTTTGAAAAGGTCCTTGCGGTGTCACTTAGCGAGATATTCGCATAGAATAATTAAATCATCAAGCATTTTGTTTCCAGTAAATTGTAACTTTTGTATCGATGCTATTTTTGCCACACCACTATGTTTTATTAATGCAAAATTCATTGAATTTCCTATTTGTTTGTTCAATTAATTATATAAAATACACATTTCCTGACCCGCCTCCAGAGTGGGTATGGAGGGGGGGGGGGGAGGGTGAAGGTGACTGAATAAGATCGAGAGATTTTATTTTAGTTTTGAATTAATGAATGTAGGAAAGAAAACAACATTTCGCGGCGTTCGATGAGCGATCGAAACCAAAGAGTCATTGGATATTCACGAATGGAAAACCCAAATAGATATGGGAAACACGATATCCCATTGGTATTTTTTATTGCGAACATTCTGGGATTAATATTCAGAAATAACAATGAAACTAATTTCTGTTAACTCATCTTCAACAAAACATTTTTGATTTTGCACTTATTAAACATTTTTTAAGAATAAGTATTTCTAAAATAAGAAAATACACATTATTGACAACATTGGGCAAGGCAATCAAATACATATGATAATTCGTTTAAACTTTTCGCATTCATCTGTAAAGAACCTCGTATGCGTAATGAGTAATTAAGCGGGTTGTATGAACTCTAATAAAAGAGTATAATAGAGTACGGTCATTCGTTTGCAATTATTGCATCCATTTTAAGTCTTTATTTGTTAATTATATGTAAATTTTTTTAACATGCTTATCGATTGAGCTTTTTAAATGTTATTGGATATAATATTGCACATTGATATATACCATAAATATAAATTTTGACCGAAGAATTTCTCCAATCCTTATGCTTCTATTTCCTTAGGTCACTATGACAAACAAAGGAACAGGCGATATTCCCGCATCCAATTTCGACGATGCTGTAACTGAAAGTTCTAAAAGTAAAAGGATAAATATTTTTCTCCAGAATGTCACTAAAACTGTTGTGCTTTTCTTCAGTTGGTGCTGTTTGGTGAGTCTTTTACTTATTTAATTATTCAATTTTTCATATTTTGAATACTTCGGCATGTTTTAAACGTTTTATATTGGTTTTCAAAATTTATTTTGGACATTCTTAGTAATATTCCAGCTGGCTTGCTTGGCTAGATTCTTTTAATTAGAAGTCAATTTGATATCTATTATTTTACTTCCTCAAATTGTCAAGTTTTTACCTAGTTATTTATTTTTTTGGCTTATAGCTGCGTTGTTTGCATGGGGAAATAGGTTAATTTCTTGAGGTTTTAGCGTTTGAATCATTAAAACAGCATAATTTTTCATATAAGCACAAATATACAGTAATTTATTACTACCGTACAGGATAAAATAAAACATTACATATGATTTAAGTCATCACACATTTGACCTCAGAATGTCAATAATGTTTGGGAGGGGATTCATTGCATTATCAACTTTTAATCGTTTAACATTTTAAAAACTTAGCCAACATTTATCTGATATTTTCAATAGTCCATTAACTCAACTTTAATATATTGTGTATTAATAGTTAAGGTTCTACATGATTACTGACAAGTTAATACTTTTAGCAAAACTTTGATTGTGGTCCCAAGGATAAAGCTTGTTAAAAGTTGAAAGTTTATATATGCCATCTAAACCCTGACAAGTCCTATTAATAATGATTTATTTTTATTTAAGTAGCTAACTTTAATGCCATAAAAGGTAAGAATTAATGCATCATTAGTTAAGTGATGACACTATTTATCACTGAGCTGAAGTTTGGTTCAGGTGCATTCATCTGAGTCACTACTATTATTTTTACATTTAGGGTTTATACGCAGAAGTGTTAGGTCCCTCCCTACAAACGTACATCAATGTAACAGGCACAAACAGTGAGGAAATTAGCCGATGTTTCTCAATGCGAGAGCTGGGCATGTTTTTCGGATCTCTTGTGGGGGCTTTCTTTGCTGATCGGTTTGTCCGTTATCGTAACCTTACTATGGCTGTCACTCTAATTCTCGGCGCAATTACCATCGGTGCTGTTCCATTCTGCCTTGATGTGATGTCACTATCGGCTACTTTCTTCTTTTCGGGTTTTGCTCATGGATCCATGACTGCTAGTGAGTTACTTAATCATAATATTAGTGAAAATAGAGAGGGAGAGAGAGAGAGAGATTTTTCGTCACTCATCTCTGATGGAGGGATAGCTTCTCGGAGCCTCTCCGATACCCTTTTATCAGTCCTAATCGGAATTAGATTTAACCTTTGCGGTTGATTATTCCGCTAATAGGGTGTGTACTGATTAACGTCGTACTTAATCGCCAGGTCGACGCTGAACTCTCTAAGTCTTAACTTTCCTCCAAACTTGAGCAAGTTCAATAACCATAATGCTCTTTTTTACTAGAGTAGATTCAACAATTTTAATCCATTTTGATATTTCCACTGCAATAAATTAATATCATTACGATGTTAAATTAAAATGGAGAAAATTGAATTTAGTTGAAATGGTATAGATGAATGTTAAAAGTACATTGCCACTACTTCAATGCATAACTGCTTGGCTGTTTACTGGGGGTAAGGCGTCAAAAATATTTTCGGGAAAAGTGCTATCAAGAAAATCTTGACTGCTTATTAAACTTTAGAGCAACGATTGATACTACTTTCGATCTATGTTAAGTAGACGGATTCTTTGATCGCCATCACATATCTTCAAAATCTTCCAATTGAGGCAATTGCAATCAATTGCAAAAAATTCCTCATTCCTCCCCTACATAAGTTCCTTAAGCAGAGTAATTTAACAAAAGTACCACATTTTTTAAAAAAATTATATTAAACAATTCCAAGTTAATTACAAAATTCCATATGAATATTTTTTCATTTTTTTCCTAACACAGCCACATCGAAAATTTGCCTTTAATAGGGGTTTGTTGTGTTAAATAGCAGGATCTGAATTTTGAAGAGATGTTTCAACATGCGTCGTCATCTGATGAGAGTCGTTTGTAGTCGTTTGCACCAAGATATTTATTTATTTGATAGTTACCATTAGCCCTTTAGCTGACTTCGGGCTTCATAGAGAGGAGGAGAAACATCAAAGTGGCATAAAGACGAGAGGGGGACAGAATAATGGTTCGCAGATTTAAAGGAGACAGACAGATACAAAGGCAGAGAATAGGTAAGATAAGTACTGTGGAAGGGGTCGAATACGACATCCAGTCGGGCCATGGTAGTCTGAAGTCAGAAGTCAACTGCCGGTTTATAGACTTTTTGCCGTATGAGTATATGTTGCCCAGGGTGCACCACGTGGAGGTAAGTCTATCGCACACCTTGCACCAAGATATTATTGATAATTTTGATTACCAATCTCAATGGTTGAATAAAATTAGATATTTTTAATGGAGGACCAACTTGCATCCTAGGATCAACAGATGGAAGCAAGTATTCGCCCTAAAACGTTAACTTTTTTGACAAGTATTTCATTCGTTAGTAATTGTGGAAAAAGTTTAGTAGGAGACACAAATAGATTACCATGCAGCGTTTAGACAGTATGGCTAAGCAGTCTAACGTGCTATAGGCAATGCTAAGCCAGATACTACCTCAAATTTTAGCAGGATCTGATAGAAAATGACCTAAATTAGTTAAATTTAACTTTTGTTAAATAGGTCATTCATTGAAATGGTATTCTATTGGAAAAGAGAAGTGTAAATTTGAAACAAAAATGTTTGATTGGAAAAGTAAGCTTCTAATTTTTACAGAAATAAACACTTATGATAAAATATTTGAAGAGGGAGAAAAACAGGTTTCAACTAAACGTTGCATCGCCTCATGATTACAAACATTATATAGTTAACAAAATAGTAGTTTCCACCCGTATTAAAATACGATTGTGCCAAAAATACCAAAGGGCTTTAAGGATTTGGTGCATCTAAGGCATTGAAAAGTGAAATAGGGAGAAAGTGTTCTTGATTATTATCAAGCACTTTATTTTGTTTTCCTTCCAGAAACTTGAGAAGTTCATCCACGGGTTGGTTAACTTTTAAGACAATCGAGTGGAAGTTTGAGGGGGTTTTGACCGCACTTTACACTTCATTTTGATGTATTTCACAAACCAGATTTTTATGTTTGATGTTAGGTGAAAGCATACATCTGGTTTTGCTGAAGATGAATAAAATGACCGATTGCACAACGTCACATCTTCTTTATTAATGAAAAGCATTTAGCTTAGAGCAGATGGTTGAGAATCTACAGCTAGAATGACTTGAAATAGGCATCAATAGAACTGACAGTTAGTGTTTAAATGCCCTTTGATAAAAAATATTACTCATTTTGACTGGAACGCCTATTTAACCAGATCTATATTAAATTAATATAGACTCATATTGAATTCTTTTTATTCAATGTATTTATATCAAATGGCAGACGTTTAGATAGTTATCAATAGCCCTTTAGTTAACTTCAGGCTTCATAGAGGGAAGGAACATCAAAGTGAAAAAAGTCGAGAGGGTGGAAACAGAAGAGTGATTCACATATGTAAGGGACAGACAGGCACGAAGGCAGAACAAAGGTGAGGTGAGTACTGCGGAAGTAGTCGAATATGACATGCAGTGGGGTGATGGTAGTTAAAGTGAGAAGTCAACTGCTGGTCAATTGACTTTTTTGGCGTATGAGTATAAGTTGCCCAAGGTGCATCACGTGGAGGTAAGTCAATCGCACAATATAATACTGACCAGACAGAATAATTATTGCATCTACAAAGTTTATTATTGCTTTAATTGTTATTATTTTAATTGAGAAGTGTTGATATGCTCTTATTGTGAAGGTCTAAACCGCTATCGTTTCGATGAAAACAATTTTTTTACTTGTCTTGTCAACTCTAACTTCCGAGTTGGCACGAACAGAACTTGCTCGAATACTTCTGAATGTTTGCTTCCGTTTCGAAAGGAAGTTATTACTTTTGCAGTCTTGAGTCCTTTTACTGACATCTTGGAAATAGGATTCAAACCCACATATCTGGTCTGGCTCAAAATGCACTGTATAACGCCAACTAGGATTGATTAGGTAGACAGACTAGGCACGTATTTGGGGTTAATCAGACTGTTTAACAAAAATTATCATATCTATAGTCCCTATTCAAGTAAAATTTAAAAAAATTCAATTATCTACTGTTGATCTAGTTCATTAAGTAATCTAGCATAGTTAAGTTAAATAGAAAATCTGAGTGCGGAGTCACTTTGAGTCAAGTTTTTAAGTTATATAGAGGTCCACAAATGCCTAAGTTATTTTTACAATCGAAAAATGGGTAAAATGGAGTCTCTTCATTAACCCTACTTCGATTAGATATTGGCATAAAGTCTGAGTCATTATTGAATTTCCTAAATTAAGTTTCTAAATGGAGTGTGAAAAGAAGAATTTAATGGGTCAAGTGATCTAAAACGAGATCTCAAACAATTATTGGCAACAAACCACACACTGCAGAAAAAGTGAAGGTTATGAAAGTTAAATACTCCACTCTTAGAGTTTTCCGAAAATGTTCCACAGTTCCGTGAGCCGAGTTGTTTACCGAGACATATTTGAAATCTATTGATACGTTAGAAGAGCATTCGAATTCGACGTTTTTATTGGTAAATGCATACTTGTCTATAGAGGGATTTTTAATACCAGCCGCTGAGATAATTTACCGAAAAAAACAGTTAGAGTGTATCTAGCCTTGCCTTTTAACATCTCGATTAATTACTTGTTTCAAACACTGTTAAACTATAACACCGAAAACGAGGTAATACCATTTGTACTGTAAAAATTTTACGATTTAACTACCACCTCATTTAAATGCAAGCACCTTATTTGCATCTCATCATAGCTCCATGTCCTTTTTCAAACTTCTGAGACAAGTTGTTGCTCAAATATTTCATTAACTATAGCAAGGAGTGAATAGTTTATATCGCTACCGCCAAATTTGGGCCTTCAATACTGGATGTGTGGATAGAGACGCCTCTTCTCTTCCTTTGCTGTTAGACATCTGAATGATTAAACCTACTTTTTTGGTTTCCTTCAGATGGAAATCCTCTTCTAAACTCAATCTGGTTGGAAAAATCTGGCGGTCCTTTCAACTTCATGCACGCGGGCTATGGTGTGGGAGCTGCGATAGCTCCGGGATTGTTGGCACCTTATACCTACTCTGACGTGAGACATCTTGCCAATGGTTCTACAGTGAATACCACACTGATTCACCTCCACATTCCATACTACATCGTTGCGGGACTTTGCTGCTTTGTGGCCTTTCTCTTCTGCTTTTTCAACTTCTGTCATCCAAAGAAAAAGGTGAATTGATCATTAATAGCTTACTATAATTACCTACATAATGAAACCCATAGAGTGAGATTTAGAATTTGAGCGGCTAGTGTAGGATGGAGAAGCAGATCTATGTATCAGAGACATCCAGTAAAAGAGGGAGAGAGAGAGAGGAGATTAAATGCTAATCAGTATGTGAATGGGAGGACGATTCGTAAATAAGACACAGAAGTAAGGTTTGCCATGACGAAAAATATGCGGTCAAGAGTTGAAATAAAACAGAATGGTTAAAAGTTGATGCTAGAAAAGTTTAATTGCGACCTAGATTCAGTAATTTAGGAGTTCATGTACTACGATTAAAACTGAAGTTGGAAGGCATCAGAATGCTCAATATGATTATCATCAGGAGGACACCCATACGAAAGGCATAACAGTTTGGAGAAATCTAACCTGGAGTGGGGGAAGGGTCTTTTGAAATGAATTCAAGCCAAGACGCCTCTTACTCTCATCAATCCGTGTTTTGATTTTGACAAAAATTGTTCTTGTTCGAAAGGAGTTGACGTTTTTGTGCTTCAATAGAATGTTTCATTTGGTTCAGGAGCTCCTTTATCTTAGTAAGACAACTATTTTGAGGGGAAATTTTCTATGAGAACTTGAACTCTGCTGAACCTTTCTGTTTTCTTTGATGCCAAAGTTCGAACTCCAGTGCCAGGGTGTTCCAACACTCTCACAATCAGATCAGGTGGTTCGTCATGTTGCTTTCTTCAATCCAGAGCAGCCACCAAGCCTCCGTTGAAATTGTTCCTATCCTGTGGGATCATCTTTTACAATGTGTTCAGATAGCATTGAGCAGAGATCATAATCTCCGTATTTTGATGGTCGAAGACGATTCAAAATTAGTTATTCACTTCCAGTCATCTATTTTCCTTGACTTCACGCCAATGACTATAATATAGTTTGAGCCTTCAATGGAAATATAGTGTGTGTAAAAACACTTTCAATACGTCTGGGAAAAGCAACCAAATAGTATTTAGTGAAATATGTCCTAAGCCACTTGTGTATTCATTTTAGGCGGTGGAAATACAGTTATTTCGCTTTGTCACTCATGAAGAAATTAAAGTGATTAGCTCACATTTTTCCAAATTGAGAATAACTTCTTTCTCTCTATGAGCATCTTATAAACTCAAAAAAATTGAGGATACAATTTGTTATCAGTTTACCACCATCAGCCGCCTTAATAAATACAAATAGCTGAAACTTTATTATTATTATTATAATATATATATATATATATATATATATATATATATATATTTAATAATGAGTGCAATTGTTACGTTGTTATAGAGGGTCTTGAAACTTCTAACTCGAGGTAGAGATTGATGCTCTCACGCTCATTTAATGAATTAGTTAATGTGCTTTGCATGCAATCCAGCAATGCACACCAATTGGAATATTTATTTATTTATATCAAATGGCAGGCGTTTCGATGGTTTTCATGAGCCATTTAGTTGACTTCAGGCTTCACAGAGGGAAGGAACATCAAAGTGAAAAAAGTCGAGAGGGGGAACAGAAGAGTGTTTCAAAGATGTAAAAGAGAGAGACACAAAGGTAGAAAAAAGGTGAGGTGAGAATTTCAGAAGGGGTCGAACATGACATAAAGTTTAATTTCTTTCCTTACTTTTGAATTGTGACATGAGTTAAGTAATTTTGTAATTTTATAGCATTGTTATTCATCGTAAAGCAAAATTTTTCAAGTGTTCACCACAACAAATCATTTGAGCTCGGAAAAAGAGTTTAAAGATAATTCCTGGGCCTAAACAATATTTCCTCCTTTCGAATAGAAGTACCTTATACCGTCATGTCCTGATTTTCAAAGGTCCAAATCACATGATCTTTCAATTGAACATCTCTTCGATTCTGAGTGCTTATTGATCAGTTTTGATGTTTTCTACAAAACGGAGTGCATTGTTACTCGCTCTATCGGTAAATTAAGAACGCAAATTTAAAAAAAGGCGCTTGAAGAGCCTTAATTAGTGTTGTCAGACATAACGCCACTTTTCGCTAAACTTCGCCTACAGAAGTCAGCTTTGCACTTCACCATGTCCATTCTTATTTCCTTATATGTTTATTTATTCATTTCAAATGGAAGGCTTTATAATAGTTATCATTAGCCCTTTATCTGACTTCAGGCTTCACAGAAGGGAGGAACATCAAAGTGAGAAAAAAATTTGAGAGATGAAACAGAAGAGTGCTTCATAGATGCAAAAGAGACAGAAAGACAAACACAAATGCAGAGAAAAGGTATGGTGAGTACTGTGGAAGTGATCGAATATGATATACAGTGGGGTCTTGGTGGTTTGTAGTCAGAAGTGAATTTCCAGTTTATAGACTTTTATGGCGTATGAGTAAATGCTGCCCAGGGTGCACCACGTGGAGGTAAGTCTATCGCGCACCCCATTTCCTCAAATATTGGGCTTACTAAATTGAAATCGGGGCGGAAACTAGACTCTGAAACTTATTTACAAATAGACCATACTCTTGATCTCCAGATATGAGAATTACCATGATTTTCAAGGGACCACTTTCCTGAATTTATCCTATTAAGGACCAAAACGTTTTTGAAAGCGAAAACTGGCACACATTCATTCGATTTGAGTAGTGGGTATGTAAAAACCCGCCAAGGAGAGAAAAAAAATAATTTTGCAATTTGCACTCTGTCTTTTGCTCGGTGCTTTCGTACAAAGATCCAATCGCTAATGAATTCAAACTCATCGTTACCCCTTTGAAGCTAACGTTTTTAAATTTCTTGCATACGCGAACGTGTGAATTAAATTTCGTGTTTCATTATTATTATGCAGTGGAAAGAAAAGTTACAATTTTTGTAGCTGAGGGAATCAACTGGCATCGAAATTGAGGCCAACAAATAGTAAAAGGAAGGGCCCTAAGAGATGTGGAGATATTTAATTTGAAGTCTGATTCTCCGAAATTCAAATAGCAATATTCACCTCTTGGATTGCTGTATTTCCTAATCTACGGTGTTTAGTTATTTTTGATCGTTATTATTTAATCGAGAGTGGTGATTCAACTACCTCAACTCATTTTTCCCTCCAATGATTGAGAGGCCATATGATCTTGCATGGGATGGGGTGTGCGATAGACTGACCTCCACGTGGTGCACCCTGGGCAGCATTTACTCATACCCCATAAAAGTCTATTTATTGGCAGTTGACTTCTGACTTCAAACTACCATCACCCCATGGCAGTTGACTTCTGACTTCAAACTACCATCACCCCACAGCATGTCATATTCGTCGACTTCCACAATATTCATCTTACCTTTTCTCTGCATTTATGTCCATCTGTCTCTTTACACCTGTGAATCACTCTTCTGTCCCTTCTCTCGACTTTTTGTTGCCTTAATGTTCCTCCTCCTCTCTATGAAACCCTAAGTCAGCTAAATGGCTAATGATGACTATCAAAACGCCTGCCATTTGAAATTAATAAATAAGTATATCTTGCATGGGATTTCTTAGTATAAGGTTTTAACATTACAGGTCCGGTAGACTATTACAATTCAATAAAATTCCAACTCCCCCTTTTTAATTTTGTGCCATTACGTTCTAGTTGTCACCTAATCTCTCTTTTAAACGCGCTCCTGATGTAATCACATTAGGGCAATTAATTTAAACTAGTACTTACAATCAATACATTATGAGAATTCTAATTTGCCTTGTTGTGGATGGATCGCGTGGTTACTAAGCGATAAACTCATTATTTGTGAATACTATTTAAGCCGTGATGTTTTATGAAAAGTCAGACGACTTCTACTGCAAATTATTTGCTAACATGTTGTGAATCCTAGTCGTCAATCAACCGTGAATTTCTTCATGCCATCCATGGGGGGGGGGCACCTTCAGGTGTAACATTCCACATTTGCGTATTCCATGTGTTTGCTTTTGCGTAGAACACAGAAGCTCTGGCGATTAGAGTTTTGCGTAAAAGCTTTTATTAATCGTGACTTCAAATAATGTAGCAGTGTAATAATATTGATTGATGATTGGCTGGGAAGCCTCTATACGCACCGCTGCACTTGATCAATACGTGGTCTATAACGCGACTGCATCTAACGTGATGTTCTAGCGCTCACGAGGTCACTTTGGACAGCTCAGTTTGGTTTAATAAATATTTCTCCATAAATTACTTTAAGATGCATTCCAAATAAATAATAAAGTAAATTAAACTTCTCGTTTCTTTTTCGTCGAGTAAGTAATAACAATTTCTTTTCACTTGTCCAAAGTTACCTGTTCTTTATTTGATGTAGGGGTGTGGATTTTTTATCACAATCAATTTTTTTAATCTGCTTAGTCGCAGATATATGAATAGGATTAATGGGAGATTACTCCATGATATTATTATATTTCGGGGTGTACGATTGACTTGCCTCCACTTGGAGCACCCTGGGCAATGTATACTCACACGCCAAAAAATGTCTATAAATCGACATTTGACTTCTGACTCCGAACTACCACGACCCGACTAAATGTCATATTCAAAACTTCTACAACACTCACTTTTATTTTTCTCTCCCTTTGTGTCTGCCCGACCCTTTCATATCTGTGAATCATTCTTCTGTTTTATCTCCCCTCTCGACTTTGATATTCCTCCCCTCTGTCAAGCCCGAAGTCAGCTAAAGAGCTAATGATAACTATCATAAAATCCGTCAGGGTGCAAAGAAGGGGTTTTTAAAATAGGTCTTCAGGGCCTGTTCCCTTTGCCAGCCTCTCTTTAAACTCAGTAGATTTACATTCAAAAGTATATTTTCCATTTTTAATAGACCTCAATTGATACCCATGGCGTTTTGCGCGTGAAAATAGAGATTTATCTCTTGAAATTACGTTATCATTGTTAGCTTCCCAACTCGGAGTATTAAGCCAATTAAAAAAGGCAGGAAGAAGTTGCTATAATTGAATGCTGAAAGTTCATTGGCCTCTATTTGTTTTCATTATGTTCGTATAGTTGATTTAAATTTCACTTTTTGGATAATCTAAAAATATGTTAGTACTGAGAGTAGTTTTTCGAATAGCATCCGAACGCAGGTTTATTGGAGGTGAATATATTAGAAAGTTTATTTAAAGACAGGATAACTTGTTAGTAGGAGTTATTACTAAAGAGTGAACAGTCTATGAGGCTGGAAATTGACGGAAATCTACTAGACTTGCCCACCGCAAAGGAGGATTGGAAAAGTTGATGGAGAAGGTATTCATCTCGTGAGAATTAATTTTGAAGGCAAAGGTCAATTTGTGGGAGCAGGATAATTAATACAAATGGATTAATATAGTAAGAAGGAAAGACAATGCGCCGTACCAGATTGAAGTGGGGCTCAGCAAGTGATAAGTTGAGGAACAACGATGTGAATCCATATGCAGTCAACCAACTTTCGGGTGGTACGCCTTCCCACATGGGCTTATTTACGATTCTGTTTGTTAGTCCCTTAAAATCCATCAATGTGTTTTGTTGAATACAATGAAAGTTAGATTCAGCAATAAAAGTTAAGTATTAATTAGTCACTAGATTACGACTAAGGCTACTATGAACCCCTTTTATTTACCTTTAGCGATCAACCGATAACAGCATTCTCAAAACCGATGGATGTGATGAAATTTCCTCTTACTTAGATGAATTAACCGTAGATGATGCATCACCACGGCCTATTAAGAAAACACCAAGATGGTGGCAAGCTGTTGTTTCGCAATCTAAAGTCATTCTCTATATTGTCTTTCCAACCTTCCTTCTTTTTGGCGCTCTAGTTGGTAACGAGCGAGTCTTCTCAAAGTTTATCTTCGTGTTCGCCAATGAAGGACCGGCCAGACTCTCCAAAGATGATTGTCTTCTTCTAACTGGTGTTTACTGGATTGTTTTCGCAATAGCCCGTGTGATCACTGTTCCAGTTAGTCTGATTATTCCTCTTCCCATTCTCTTCGCAATTCAATTAGTTGGCGCTTGGGCAATGGCACTGGGACTTTATCTTGGACCAAGTACCAGAGTGGCTTATCTTGCATTTACAGTTTGCTTTGGACTGTTCAAGAGTCCGCTCTTTCCAACTGGTCTGGGTTTGATTAGTACGGCAACCCCGATTACTGGTGTGATCGTCTTCTTCGTGAATCTCGGAAGCTCATTGGGAGCAAGTGGTCTACAGGCATTGGCTGGTGCTATACTTCACCGAATAGGAGTCCACGTGTTCCCCTTGCTGGTGATGGCCTCTGGAGCGGTTTTGATCTTCATTGGCGCAGCATTGATAGCTACTACACAGTTGTATAAAAAGAGGCACGGCTCGCCTTCGGATATGAGTGTAAAGGTCAAACCTAACGAGGAAAACGAGATGACTTCCCAGTCAGCTTAGAGTAGTGTACTAAGCGTTTGAAACGTAACTTTGTGAAATGAATTAGATTTGATTATATATACCAATAATCTACTATATAACTAATAATGATCGAAATTTGCTAAACACACTAACATTTTGAAAAGGAAATTCGATTTTATTCTTTATTTGGTCTATATCAGAGGTTGATACAGATCAATAATAATTAGTAGGAATTAGACTAAAATTTTTTCCCCTCAAAATGGGATTTTTTAACTTAGCAATGAGAATTAATTGGATGACTATTGAAGATCAAACTACAGTTGAAAATTTTTGTCACTCTTCCAACATATCAATGATGGAAAACGGACTCGTAAAGACAAGGTAATGAACCTTGAACTTCAAATAAGATACCAGGGAGAAGACGCTTTATAAGGTCACTAGTTGGTGTATTTGATAGGTTATAAATATTGAGCATAAAAGACGTTAGATTGAGGTTAGGACATCATAGAAACGGCCTGTCAGGGAGTAATGATGCGTTTAATCTGTAACCTTGATCAATGGATAGGGATATCAAGTGAAGAAACCTCAATTGGTAATATGTAATAAGAACATTCCACATAGATTTCGTGAGTGATAGTCCACTGACAAATGAGTTTGTTGTGACATCCAGACTCTCAATGTCTGGCCCCATGACAAACCCAATTTAAGACACAAGATTTGGTATTTCTATTTTCCGGCAGTCTTCAAGTTTGTCCGTAGTTATTCCAAGTATATGGCAATACTATATCATATTTAAATGCACATTATTTGACACCGATTCTATTAAGTGATTTCCCCGCTACAATGGTCCAAGTTGACGGTGTGTAGTGACTGGTCATGCTATCAGGGTGATTTTCCAATTCAATGTGGCGCGGAGTGGTGAATTGGTGCCAGTCAGGTTGTAAAAGAGTATTATTATTTCAAATGGCAGGCTTTGTGATATTTATCATTAGCCCTTAAACTTTGACTTCAGCTTCCCCCAAAGGGGGGGGGGTACATTTATAGGAGTTAATTAATGGTAGTTCATTAGGGGGGGGGGTACATTTATAGGAGTTAATTAATGGTAGTTCATTACCTGTCTTCTTGCTTCCCAGTATCTCTGACTTTCCGTCTTTGTCTTCAGAGCTGGACATCGAATCAGGTGGGTCTTCTCCATTTCCTCCTGTAGGTTACATAGAGGGCATGTGGGTTGAGTGTATACTTCCAATCTGTGAAGATGTTTTGCCAAGCAATCGTGTCCGGCACGTATTCTAAACTCAGCCACGGCATCGATTCTTGGCCAGTCGGCTATGTCGAGAGTGCCACTGTCCACTGTTTCTCCTTTGTTCAAGCTTTAAGTTCGTTGCACCTTGAGGTCTTGAATTCTCTCTTGATTAAGGTCTTCATTGTGTGGAAAGACATCGGCCGGTCCATGCATTGCAAAATCGTTGTTTCCTTCTTAGCATGTGCATCAGCAAGCTCATTGCCTTTAATGCCTCAGTGACCAGGAATCCATTGTAGGACCACTGTTTTGTTTTTCTCTCTCAGCAGATGATAGAGTTTTCTACATTCCTTTATCTCAGCTGTTTTGGGTGGCTCTCTGTTTTCAATTGAGTTTATTAATGACTGTGAGTCCGAAAGTATCACCGCTTTGGTGAATTTCGTATCCAGACAACATAATTTGTGCCAGTCAGGTTGTAAAAGATAAACTACGATGAATTCAAAAATAAATAGAGTTAAACTTTTAACGGCGTCACTCGCCTAATGTCAACCGCTCAAATCCAAATGCCCTAATCTCAAATCAGTGCCCTTTTGACCACTTTGAACTTAAAAAGAACAAAACAAAATTTAGGTCACATTAAAGTACTTCTTTTCTTTATCTTCATGTTTATATATATATATATAAATATACATATACATATACATATATATATATATATTTATATTTATATTTATATATTGGATATCAAGTTAAGGGTCTCCTCGAATCTCTTTTTGAGTTGTTGTCAAACCAAGTTTTGAAGCGATCATCAAACAAACAGAATCTTTTATTTTGAATTCGTTTTTAACACTAATTTGGTGGTGATCGTGTTAAGTTCCTTTCATCAACCTTCGCTCTTATCTGCATCAATATGTAGGCTCCAGGTATGTTAGAAGTAGGCTCGCAGCCTCTCAGGATCAAAGTAGAGCGCATCCTGGAGTGGACTGGTGGGGAAGCCGAACTGGGAGCCCAATATGGCCATTAGCAAGTTCCAGACACAGATATATAGGTTACAATCGCTCTCCGGGGAAAATGATTACGTTCTTTGCTAGCTTTA